GGGGCAGTGAGTAGTTGGTAAGCAGGTATAAAGGTTCCATCTCTTGCCTCCATTCAGGACAGCTCTGAGGGCCCATCCAGAGCTCCCTATGGGATCAGCTCAAGTCTCCTGGGAAACGCTCTGCATCTCAGTGTCTCCCTCTGCACATCTTACTTCCCTGGCTTCCTCCCTTCTCTGGTGTTCCAGAGAGCGCTTTGTACTAAATTTCCTGCATGCAAATCTCTGCCTCAGATTCTGTTTCCTGGGGAACCACAGTGAGTTTTTGAAGTCAAACAATGGTATAACGCAGAGAAAAGACAGAAGGTGAAACATTTTTTAGTATAAAATACGGAACTTTTATTTTGAAATTTAGTCCATAAGTATTTCCACAATATGACTAAAATTCTGTCTTTTTTCTAAATGAAATAATGTTGAGTTTCTTAAATTTAATGAATAAAACTGAGACAACTTAAATATAGTGAAAACATAATTTCATCAACAAGAAGAAGCAAAAATAATTTCAAGTGTCTACTTGAAATACTGGAATGCACATTTGGACTCTTGTAAATGAAAATACCACACCAGCGGAAGGACCCATCTCCACTTGTTAAAGCTGCTAACAAATGGTATTGGAATTTTAATTCTTTCCAGAAATACACAGCAGCTGGTATCCAAGGCCACCTGTAGTCATGAGAGTTATTTTAAATGTTCATTCAACATTGGCAGGGTAGAGGACTTTTGAAATAAATCCTGATTAAAAAAAAAATGTTCAAACTCCACCAGTTTTATAGATAGTATTTTTCAAAGGAATTTATAATACAGTAATCTTATGGATATACTCAGGATACCAACGAACAGTGGGTTCATTAGACATGGGTAGATTTCTTTAGAATCTAATAGTATGGGATTTCTTTCATTTTTATTCCTTCCTTTTTCCCCACGTATACTTATTGTAGTTAATGGAATCTCCTTGTAGCGTTCCAGTTATCCACATAGGAGGGAATATAAAGAATGTCAAGGGATACTACAATCATGACAAGTCTCCATTTTATGCATTATACAATTCCAATCAGAAAGACTTTTAGTTCTATCCTTTCCCATGTGTTACTCAATTAAATAGCAAGTGGAGATTTCTTTTGCGTGGGGGTGTTAAAAGCATGTTCCTTCCCGTGTAATTATGCCCATAGAAAAGAGCCTGGTCAGGGACTTCAATTCCTTTTGAATAGTTTTCTCTCCCTTCATATTTTCTGTTTAAAATATCAATAACAGATATATGAGGAGTGGACAAGGCCTCCTCTTAAGCGTCCTCTGGCTGCCCAAGCACACTTGAGTACCCCCAGGGCAAAGTATTGCATCTCCTACACGATAAGATTATGGGAAGGGGTAAATCTTACATGATTTACTGGGCATTTCATGTTGAAACTACACTTGGGAAAAGCAAATAGTCCTCTGGGTGACTGAGGATCACAGCCCTTTAATCAGGATGGAATCCTGCACCTCGTATCCAAGAACCTGAGACGTATCAGCAAATCTGGGTGTGGGGAGAGGTTATTACAGTAGGGTGGGAGGAAGAGGGCACCTAAGTGAACAAATGTTCAGGGAACACAGGACAATTTGCTGCTGACAGTGGAGAGACCTTCCTGACCCACCTGGACAAAGGCAAACTGTATTCTCATTCCCAGGTGCAGGATACTTGATGACCAGCCCATTAAGTCAACCAGTAATTGAATCATGCAGGGAATTTAAATATAAGATTAAAAATAGATCCCATGACTCTATCACTATAGTGAAAACTGTATTAAAAACAGTCTCTAATTTTGTTGTTAGATTTCTAGACGTTCTCTATTCTCTGTAAAACATATTAGTAGATACCCACAATTTAAGAAACTTCCTCTGTAAGCGTGGGCCCTTTTGCTCCCTTGGGTTGAGTCGCATGACTGACTACTAAGAGTCTGTTGTGTTTATTAACAAATTTATTCCAGCTGCAGTTTTTACTGCGATTGTATAATATAATGAAATATTTTGCAAACTGATAAAATAGAAATATAAAAAAGAGAGTTGCCATTTCTATGAAAATTAAGCAAATACTCTAGAAATACTTAAAAAAGGGAAGTTGCTCAAAAATCACTATTGAATTATTAATAGATGTGAGTGAGGTCTGCAAAAGACTGGAGGAGAAAACTCTCAAATAATCTTTAAATTTTTATTCTTTTTAAAGTATCAAAACTGATCATTATAGAAATGAATTATGGATGATGTGGTTTTGCAGATTCTAATCTGAAGACTCTTCCTCAAAGGAAAAGATTTGGTTTGATATTAAAAGATTGGTGAATGGATGTCCCTTGACATTTTAGAGTACAATAAAACATTCAAGAGTGTGCCTACTTTGTCTTATAACTCTCCAATTTTAACTGACTTTTTATGCTGATCAACAAATCACATTCAGTGTCTTCTGCACTTTACCCAGACAGGACAACTGCATCTCCTTTTGGATTTATGGGATGAGGCATTTCACAGAAAGGGCTGAGATATTGGATAGTCTCTAGACTTTCCACTCCCATCATGTGAGGTAGAATGGTAGAAACCTTCCCCGGGGTAACTGTGTGGTCAGGAAGCTTTGGAGGCAAATAGCAGATCCACCAGTGGTCTTCCTATTCTCCAGTATACAGAATCTCAAGCTTTATAGAGCCCGGAATAAACATGAGGGCTGTAAATATGCGAGCTGCCTTTCTCAGCAAAGCAAACACTTGTGCTTGTAGATAAAGATAATATCATTTTTAACCCCGCATTTCCCTAATCACTTTCTTTCTTTCTATGTGCAAATAGAGGAAACAGAAGATATGCTAAAGTTGAAATAAGGGTGGAGCTGCTGGGAGGGGGAGGAACCCCTGTTTCAGCAACTTTCACAAAGAAATAGCAATATCAAAATAAGGGCAATCTTCCAGTCACCTTGGAAAAATAATCATCAAAATGATGAACAGTCCTGGTATTTCCCTCTTCTCTCTAACACAGGGTGATGATTTATTTCAATAAAAGAACACCCACATCTATTGAAAATTCACCACGGAAGTATCCACACAAAAATGATGATACTTTAAATCAGAAGTACTTCCAGCTTGGCCTGAGAGGGTGAAATATTTCACTAATTGCTATGTAGTATATTTATAGCTTTAATTGTTTTTCCCCATTTCTCAAGGGACATGTTTCTTCCAGAAGCACAGTTGCTGAAGCAAACATTTATTTTTATTGTTTCAAGGGAACAAAATGGAATACCCAACCAGCTACTATAATCGGTAAAATCAGCTGCCAGAGAATTTTGCTTAATTTATACCTTTGCCCCAAGCTGTGCCTTAGGGTCTGCCATATTTTTCTTTCTGAACTTGAGAAAAAAATAGTCTGTTAGAATAAAACAAATTTAGGATGATACTGATACACTTCCACCCAACCAATATGTTTTATGCAAACTTAACTGCTCTTTTCCTCCTTTCAAGAATGCCAACTAAAATCATTGAAATATGAATGGTTAAAGCCAAAACACACTTTATGTGTATCCTTGAAGGAATGTGCCCTTTAAAAAATGATATTTCCTCATTGTAAAAGTAATACATGTTCACTGTGGAACATCTGGGACACAAAAGGAAGTATAAAGAAAAAAAACATTAAACCATAATCTCACCAACCAGAGATAAGCATTATAAGCATTTGGATAAACTGCCTTCCAGTGAAAGAATACAATTCTTTAAAATCTTAAAAACTATCTTCTATTTCTTAATAAACACTTTTCTTCCTCAGTAAAAGCTTTGTTACAAGTATTCTTCTAGGACTTACTTTTTTTGTAATGTTTGGAAAAGTATTTGATAGGAAACTTGACGTGACAGTTGAAAGTTTTTGCCATCCTGAATATTACGTAACAGGTCCTAAAGTCTAAAAGGTTTTGACTGATGACAATACAGTTATGTAGAGCACTGTTCAAAAGGATAATTTTAAAAATCAGGTCAGTTGCTTTAAGAACGACAATTTCAGACTAAGCTTTGAAACAATCCTAGTTGGCGCTTCAGTGAAATACATGATTTTGCTTGGTTTATATATTTTAAGCATGTCCTTAAGTGGAACAGTACCAGAAAATTCAAACAAACGTGGGCCAATCTTTGGGCGCATGAAAAGCTCTTCAGAAACCTTCTGAAAGCCTCATAATATCCCATAAAAGAGAGGATTCATCTTGTTTTATTTTTCCCCCATTTGGAGATTCTGAGGCTGTGTTTAGTTATGTCTCCATGGGTTCCAGGTTAAATATGTTTGCTATCTGGGACCTTTTAGAGAAAACCATCTGAACGTCAGAGTTGCAATTTAAATGAGTACCTAAGAGCAATAAAGACTGCTGCTAGTATTGCAGAGCTTAAATTTTTAGTTTTTCTTGAAGTCCTATCTCAAGCCATGTTTGGTATACTGTCTTCTAGTGGATGAGTAGGAGGAGAGTGTCAGGGCTGTTTATACGTAAAAATATGTGTGTGTACACACCCCCTCTTTAACATATTCCCAACATGGCAATCAGTGTCTTCTCATTTTCTTTCTATTTAATACAATTATCAGGGTATTTCATTTCTGTACTCAAATGTCTTCATATAAATTCTTTCAGACAGTGGAACACCTAGAGTGGGAACAATTCATTGGAGTAAATATCCTGAGAACTTACAAGTATATGAGTATTTTTACAACCAACTCCTGTTTGCCGGCATATATGTATTAAATTGAGCATCACTTCATTGCATAAAGGGTAGCAATGGAAATTTTACAGGAAAACACCAAGAGTTACAAGCAAAGAAGAGTTACTACACTTATAACAGACTTGAACATGGAGCCATGAGACTCAGAGTCCAAGATCAATACCACCTCCAAAGAGAAGTTCACTGTTAAGAGAAACAAACAATGCCCTGCCACCCCCCAGTACTGGGATGGGTGAGTAAGATAGACCAAGACTTGAAAAGCACAACAGCGACACCCCTATGGCGTATGGTGCTTACTTGAGGGCTGTTCTGTAGTGGTAGATCGCTTCCCTGTTCCGACCTTGGTCCTTTAGGAAATTAGCGTAGTTGTAGTGAACCTTGGCATTGTGGGGCAGAGTTTGAACTCCAGACCTAAAGTGAACAGCAATAAAAAAAATGAGCCACAAAGAGTACTGCTTAGGAATGTTATCAGTTTCTTTTTATGTTTTACTCAGTTTCATGACCCTGCCTTTGAAATGTCCATTGCATCCATCTAAGCCAAGTCTTCCAAAATTTGTGAATTACATGAGTTGCTAAACATGCTTCTATGAAAAACAATGACGGTTGTGCACAGCTGTGCACAACTACACAAACATGCTAACTGCCCGTGAAGCAGAGGTGGCAGGACATGGTGATAGGTAATTCTTTGGAGGACAACCTTGCATGCTCAGGTTAATTCAATTTTTCCTTCCTTGCTTCATTCATTCACTTATAATCTGCCTTAAAAAAAAAATTGACATAGTCTACAAAAATTCATCATTCCTGGAGGGGTGATTGTTGACTGGCTTCCCTACTAAGATTTATTGGAAATTAACATTTTCCATGGACTAAGTCTGGGCTAAGTGTTTTAAAAAAATAAATGTGGGTATAATCATTCTACAGGTTGCAGATAAGAAATGAGGTTTTGCTCAGAAAGGTTAAAAACCTTGCTTATATGGTCACTTGTTATTCTGCTTGGGATGCTGTAACAAAATACCTGGGGAACCCCGACAGGGCAACACAAAGGCTTTGAAGGTGGTACACAGAGTGGGTGAGGGCAGGAGGGGATCCGTTTGTCATGTGTAGCTGCCTCACAAATAACCTGCACAAGATCACACAGCTGAGGAGTGGCACATGTGGGATTCTGAACCAAGGAGTCTGGTTCTAGAGTTCCTGTTCTCTCACTTGCAAGGAGGTAATGGCAGGGGCAATGATGAAAGCAGATGGGTTTGAGGGTTATTTTGAAAGAAAACTCCTGGAATTTATATGGGTTAAATGCAGGAGGAGGGTAGCTGGTGAGAGAGAGGAAAGAGAAAGGATGACAACCTAGTTTCTGGACAATTGCACTTCAAGGTACCATCTCTTCCACATAACATATTCTTGTTTATTTTTTAATTGAAAGGTAAGATTAATAGGGGAACTTCATGCAAAGTGTTAAAACCTGTTGGGGGAATATGTCAGGGCATTGAAACCTTTGTGAAACTTTTGTTGAAATGAAAGCCCCTAAGGCCAGCAAAGACTGCCCCACTTAGAGTCCACTGGCTGGACACTTGAGGAACTCTCCAGAGGACAGAATTTACAGGGAGCGCAGGAAGCTAGAGATCAACCCAAGGGCGACAGGTCATCCAAACGCAGCAGACTCCAAACATGTACAGCTGCTTGGGTGATTTTCAAGGTACCGCAGGCAGCTGGCTTCCTTCCTTCCTTCCTTCCTTCCTTCCTTCCTTCCTTCCTTCCTTCCTTCCTTCCTTCCTTCCTTCCTCCCTCCCTCCCTCCCTTCCTCCCTTTCTCTTTCTTTTTCTTTTTTTGGTAGGGCATGGCTGAAAACAGGCGAACCATAAATTTCTAGCAGGAGCAGTTAGACCCCTGGTCCTCTCTTCCCTACCCTGCACATCCAGGTGACTTTCTTCAACTATTCTTTCCCTATCCCAGCAGAAGGCAGGAGGTTTGCTTTCTAGAAAAGTTGAATCAGAGAGATCCAGCTCTCAGGAACAAGTACAGTTAAAATCAGAGGGAAGAGCTATACCTCAAAGGTAGATTAAGTGAAAAATCTGTGTTCTAAAAATTAGGAGCCCCCTAGTTCTTTCTGAATATTGGGAGCAGGATTAAAACCCCAGAGAGGAGACTGGAAAAATCCTCTCCTCTCAGTGAAAGCTGATTGACCCAAGACCAAAGATTTACAAATGCTGACATTTGGGTGTTTAGCAAAAGCATCAGTTTCCTTCAATCACCCCATGGTGAGGCCCACCGGCTGACACACAGAGCTAAGATTTTTGATGTAATATTTAAAATGGACATTGCCCAAAGTGAATTTAGTCACAGGGGCAGTATCTGGGTCAGTGGAAAAATAACGGCTTAAAAACAATGTAACTTCTATCCAGGAAAATTTCTGATTTTTCTATCCAGAACTAAATAGTGCACGATAACAGGTAGGTTTTTAAAGACAACTTTGATTTCAGCATGGATATAACTGGCATATTTATAGGACTTGATCCTTCCCTCTGTGGGGTTAGCATAGTTGCTCTAATGTATGTTTCACCAAGGACAGGACATCAGGCCTGTGGAAACACGGCCTTGCTGAGATCAGGGCATTGTCCTGTGATGGCAAGAGGAAGTAATGATATTCATAACAGGCAAGCAGAAGTGGGTGGGGTGACCGAAACCCTAAGAACACACTGCTTCTCCCTTTGTTGTTTATGTTCTCTCTGGTTTTTTTCTGCTGTGTTTTTCCAGTCTCCTATTTTACAATGAACAGTTTGTTTAAAAAAAAAAAAAAAAAAGGCAAAGAAACAGCCAGCCAAAGGCAAAAGTTTCCACGGAGCTGTAACTGGCCAGGTTGCTCTTCCCCCAGGGCCAGTCTCCTCAGCGTGCTTTCTTGGTGCTATGATTTAGTGCTCCCAACTGTTTTAATGGAAACATGCAGCCCTACACATATTTACTCCACAAGGAAATGTAGTAGTCATAAATTATATGGCTGGATCCCAAGCCCTGTTAATAATTACAACAATGATTAGGAGAAAAAGCTCCCTTTCAACTCAGGATGAAGTTAATTCATGCACTTTGTATTTTTCCTTCACACCCCACATTTGCAGAAGACTTGAAAGTAACAAAAATCAAACACAAAAAGCCACTTCTATAGGGTATATTTCCAACTGTGTAGAACATCAATTTGTTTTGTTGGCATCAGTGGACAATAGGTTAGGAGAACCATCCCCAAATTCCTGGTTAGAAAACAAACATTAAAAAAAAAAAAATGAGCAGTGTTCAGCCAGAGGTTAACAGGAAAAGAAAAGTAAGAGGAATTTGTGGTTCTCAGTTTTGACCGGCTTTAACCTGAGGTTCCACAGGCCACACTTAAGTTGTGCTCATTTTGAATCAAGCACTGGGCTAAGCACCATTTCCATGAATTATCTCATTTCATCCCTTCAACAATCTATCAGGTGGGTAATATTATTATTATAGATGAGGAAATGGAAGCTTACAGAGATGAAGACCTTTCTCTAAGGTTACAGACCTAGTAAATAATTGAGAAAAGATTTCAACCAAGGCTAGTATAGGGTCAGAATCATTGCTGAAGTTGATGGAGAATTGATGCTAAACTGCAAAGGTACCACAGGATACTAGTAACGTTAGAATTTCACTACCACACGTTTATATCACTGGTAAACAAACTCCAGCCCTGTGGGCCACAGATGCATCAATGTGTTTACCAACTGTTTCTGGCCTCCTTCCCAAGACAACAGTAGAAGGCAGTAGTTACAAAAGAGAGTGAACACGGCCCACAAAGCCTAAAGTATTTACTATCTGACCCTTGACAAAAGAATTTGCCACTCCCTGGTTTATACTCTCTGCCCTGGAAGGTCTGCTGATGTCTCTGGCTCAGCAGTTCAGAGAGGAGGAAAGAGAAATGTGTTTCCTAGAGACAGGGGAGATGATGTAGGCCATAAATTCTTAATCCGTGGTCCATGGATCACTTAAACGGTTCATGGATGGGGTTCACAGAGACCCTTAACTGAATGTGAAAGAAAATATGCTCTCTTTGTTTCCAGGTATTTGAAAGATTGGCGGTGTGGAGTGTGGAGATTTTATTAGACTGTGGTGACACAGCATTATTTGTTACTAGGCCTGTCGGGAGCTACACACTTAGCCTCTTCTTGGGTTAGGATATCAGTGTACTTCCTTTATTTAAGAGTTAAAGAAAACAGGGCCGAACGAGTGGCGCGTTGGTTA